GCGCAGGAACTCCTCAAGTACAAGTACCACATACTCGCCGGACTCACTCTCGCCGCCGTCCTCTACTCTCTCACCATCATCTCGCCTTCTTTCCTTTCCATTCTCACCTACTTCTGGCCTCTCCTCCTTTCCACCGTGGTCTTCCTCTTTGCCGGCGTCTTCTTCGGTAAGACTTCGTCTCCACCTGGATCCGACCCCGCCTCCGAGATGGCCGGCGAAGGCCTCCTCGACTACGTCGCCGGCCAGCCGGAACTTGCCCCTGACACTTAAAAGCGCTGATCGATTAGCTTAGTTTGTAAGCCCATCTGTTTCTCGTTGTTTTTAATTTCGTAATTTTGTAGTTTACAGTACTTAAAATTTGAACGGTTAATTATTTAGAGAAAATATTTGGGTACTAAAAAAAAAAAAAAAATTCCTACCTTAAACGCGTGAGTCTGGTGGCAGCCTTTTTGTTTTTTCATGGTTAAATATAAAATCTAACGTATTCTGATCTATACCGTCTGTTGTTTATAAATTTTTGTTAAAGTAATTTAATTTAGTTTAAATTGGAAAATAATTTTTTTATAAAATATTTTTAAAAAATAAGTACAGCTTGATCATTTGATATTGGGTTGCTACCCTGCAATTTAATCGATCAATAATTAAAAATAGCGTAATTTGTACGAAGTGGACATCACTGCAACAACAGTATTCTCTGGATGTAATATATTACTGTGGTGGGTATGAACTTGGATATTCTCTTTTAATCTATGACATATATTCCTTTTTTTGTGGGCCCCAAAGTGGAATTATGATCCATTTAACCTTTCTACGGTGCAATTGTGATTGATTTCATTCACAAGTTGTTGGGTCCACAAAGTTGTAGCTACTCGAAATTTCGTAGAAAGTCAAGAGGAGGAATTAGGAAGGAAGGAATCAAAATAATAGAAGTGGGCCGGGACCAGGTTAGAACAGATCCCAACAATTATTCTGTTTTGATGGATTAAATTCAATAAATAGTATTTATTAATTATATATAGTTCAAAAATAATTTTTTTTTGAAATAATTTATAAATTATTAATTTTGTATCAAAATAATGTACTTGACAAACATTTATCAATTAGATTAATGAAATTCTTTTTAGTTGTTGATATTAATTGATAAATGAAATTCTTTTTAGTTGTTGATATTGTACCACCTAATTCACCACTTGCATGTTATGTGGTTGAAAACAAAATTTTGAAAAATATTAAATATATTAAATATATTTTTATTTTTAAAATTCAAATTTTTTGTTAAGTGTAGTAATTAATTAAGATAAAATTTCAAATTTACATTAATTAAGATTTTAAGTTAAATTTACAATAATTAATGTTATAATTTTAATTTTATGATTTCTAAAAAAATGTAATTCATTATTAAATATTAATATTTTTAACAAATAAAACATTTTGAAATTTAATTTAATTAAATGAATACCCCACACATAATTAAAATTACTTGAAAAATAAAATAAATTTTAATTTTATAAATCGTTAGATTGAAGTCATACATGCGTTATTAGTGTTGAAAATAAAATTAAAATTTTTTATTTTTTATGCAAATTAGTGAAAAAAAAATATAATTTAATAATGATATTAAGTTTTTTTTTTAAATAAAATTTAAATTATAATATT